TAGAGGGTGTAGGTAGCAATGTGACAGGTCAATAAAAAGACACTCCTGAGGTTACTGAAGTAGGATACAGAAAAAGCAACGGTATCCCAGCCAATCCTAGACCAAATAAAACCCATCAGTCTTTGCTAATATCCAATCATTATTCGTTCCACAATAAAGCAGACGATTTGGGCTTCCTGCTACTCGGATCAATAGAATTCCATCCAGAAGAGCAACCGATCAATATTGGACCACCTATACACTGGCAGCATGCCCGACCAATCGATGCGCACCTACCTGTGGATGTCAGCCAGTGATGATTGCTTTCTCCATTCCTTTAAAGCAGAGCCTCTTTGGCCAAGCGTCTTACACACGGACATAAGCACACTCGCATGCTACAGCCTACTGCTCATTTCAGTATATTTCTACTGAACAAGTAATTTCATATATTGCCTTGCTGAATGTACATTCTTGCAAACAAACAGAGGCATCAGGAGAAACTCAACCAGCTTGACTGACTGGATGCAGAAAGAGAGAGAGGGTTATTGATCGAAATGTGTGAACAGATCCTCCAGAGAGGGATTTCCCCATCTCATTGTTGACGGGTGAGATTTCAAAATAAGCATCTAGGTTTAAAATTGATTTTTAAAAATTTCCTTTTAATGAGACGCTAGACACAGTGAAAGAGTGACCGGAGTCTTCTCTGGTAGGAAGGAGTGTAAATTAGCAATGCTGCACACTGACTGCCAGCTGGGTGAAAGACAAACTTATTGATTTGGAAATACTTTCTCTCACTAAACTAAGACGCAGCGCACACATAGCCGAGTGTTTTTAAAATAACGCAGCAAAGATATTTGTTTCAATAACGTAATCTTGCCCACACCTGATGGATTTAAGAAGTGTTCATCCACACAAACCAGCTGAATTACACAACTGAGCCGTAGTGTAATTCAGCAACATATAAACGTGACGTTTATTTGCTGCAGGCTGTCGTATGTTTACCTCTAAATCCCAAATGTCCACATGCAAACAAGGAGAATCCTCAACCCTTCACTTTGGCTAGAAGTTTTAGTATCAATCATTTTTAGTGCTAGTAAACAAATGTTACGTCTAAATGAAAGGATCAATCTTCTTAAAAATTGATTTGTGAAAGATTTAAGTTCTTTTACTTAAGTGAACCCTTACTGCATACATTATTGAAAGAAAAATGATCTGACTAAATTATTATTATTATTATTATTATTATTATTATTATCATCAACATCACCACTACTACAATGGGATTCAATTTAAAAAGCAAGAACTAACAAGCCATTTAATCAAGCAGTTTATCATAACAGCTTCACAGTCCCAATTACATCTGGACATAGTTTATCAATCTCCTAATCTTCTCCGGGATACATTTTCAAGTCTTGGTCAGGGTACGCCAATAAAATGGTCAGATTTCTGAATGTCTACTATGCCACATTAGCTAAATGCAGGCGTAGTTCAGTTAATTAACTTGTTTTTAATCAGCTTGTTTAATATTAGTGCAAGTCTATAAACAGTATAAAGGCCAAATGAAAAATATTTGATACAGTAAGCTCCTCATAACTGTGTCTGTATTGCTTAGTTAAAATGTCAATGCCAGAGCAATTAATGGTATAGCTTTAACTACAAAATTAATATATTATTAAATCTGAATAAAAATTGTTTTTGTTTAGTTTTAAATAAAAAAAAATTATAATTGAATAATTTTACGCATTTCTCACAAAATTCTCATTCAACATGGTACTTCCATCATATCATAAGCATCTCCCAATCAGCCCATGCCTAAATCTAACATTTTAATTATGACCCCATCTCCACCTCTGTTATCATTATTGATTAAGTATAATCATGCATCTTCAGTCTTTCTCTCCATTATCTCCCTTTTGTAAGTTCTCTATGATCCTCCAGCTCAACTGAAGCCTCCTTCTTCTCTCATCCTTTTCCAATCTTTTCTTTCAGATGTCGGTCTCTCATATTCTCTTCAACTCTGCTCAATTTCTGACCCACTCGTCTTCTTCTCTTCCCCTCCCACTTTCTAATAGAAGTCTTCAGCAGTCACTACAGCTGGCCTCTCTTTGAACTCCCTGCTTTCCCTGTAAACCAGCAGCCCCCGTTCTCATTTCTGTTTTTCAAAAGGCATCCCCTTATTTTGGGCCATTTTGTTGCAAGTGCAACCACCACTTGTTTTTAATATAATTTCTTTCCACCTCTTCAACCCCATATAAGTGGTAATTTTCTTCACACAGAGCTCTTTCCATGAGATTGCTTTCTTTTTTTCTATCGAAGCATCTGTCGGTGTTGGCCTCTCTTCACTTTGTGTTTGTAATGCGCTAACCTAGTGGGAAATGCTGCATTGGCCCTGCACTTATCTATGTTTTTTTTTTTTTTTCCCTTTCTTGTTTTACACTCTCATGTTATGCTTTTGAAGCTTGTTCCTCTATATGAGTCATGTTGTCAATCCTCCCCCCCTCCCTCAGCATCTCGGTAGCCATCTCTCTATGACTGCTTCACAACACTCCAGCTTCCCCTGATGTCGCTCCTATTTAATCAAGCCTCACTTTCACTACACTAAATCATTCTCCCAAGCATCAACAGCAGCCAGATCATGATGGGGGGGGATGCATCGCCTTCCAAAAGCATGTAAACTTTTCATATTCCTCTAAGAATGAGGTGAAAGATCATTTTTCAGCAGGAGAACTCTAAATATCCAGCAAGAGCTATAAGTGGTTCTATCTAATTTTGTCAATTAGATAGAACCAATCAAAGTGCAAACTTAATTCCAACTGAAATTTTAATTAGATGTTAGAGTCAAAGATAACTATGGTCAGGTAGAGTGGTACATTCATTGTGTTAAAGGAAAAGAAAAGCATGAATGATAAAAATGACTGCAGAAGCTATTATCAATGTAATATTCAAGAATAATATTGGGACTTTATGTCTTTCCTACTATCATGCAGCTCTAGTTCGTAGATATACAAAACTGGTAGAAAGATACCACAAAGGAAAGAGAGGCAAGAAGACTTGCTTCTGTAATTAAAATAAAATTGATTAATGAGAATTATTTTGGTGCATAAAAACAAATGCATGTCACACTTTAGGCTTCTAGTTGAGCAAAAAAGGAGGAATTATGCCTTATTTTAGCTCCACTTCACAACTACAAAGTATTTGGTGTCGCAATGTGACATGAAACCTTTATGAAACAAAGGGTTGTGGTGTATCTGGAAAAGTTCAAATGGTATGAATACTTTTACAAAGGAATTGAAATACCTGAATTTTTAGGATCTATGTCATTTCAGCACGTGTGAGAAAAAGTGTGAAGGCGCAGAAGAGGAGCGAGGCGAGTCCCAAGAGACTCCTGGAGTAACGTGTTAAGGAGAAGGGGAGATGAGTTCTAATTAAAAAGAAACAAGGGAGAGAATGAAAGGGAAAGCTGGTGTGATTCCTTGAGATTAACAAAGCCTACAATATTTTTTCGTCCAGGCCCTCTAAGTCTCCCTCTCTCTAGTGCATGATGAAAGCAACAATTCCCCAGGTCTCACAAAAAATGAGCAATGGACCCCCAAATCTCTATTCCTCCATCCTCCTTGAGCTGAAGGAAAGGAATGAAATAGAGAAATGAAGGGGAACAATATGACTTCTGCCTAGTTAGTCCTTTCACAAAGATAAAGAGAGTGCTCTGACATATTTGATCCATCACTGTGAAGGAGGTGAAAAGGGGACAGGGTTGCAGTTTAGATGGTGTGGGTGGAGACAGTGGGCAGCTCCAGCGTTTATATCCCATTACTCCTCTAAACAAGTCCCATCAAGTCCTATTTTACAGCGCCGGCATCAGAGCGCAGATGACAGAAGCTTTGGTTTCTCTTCATTAAAAGTCCATATGGCCAATATGATAATAACTGTCACAGACAGGATCAAAGTGACCTTGACTGATGGGGGTTGGCAACGTCTCTTCTGCATTATGAATCCACGCTCATCACACTTTTCTGCCCTCAATTATCTAAAAGTAGTGTGCAACAGCAATTATTTTTCCAATAGCCAGGCTTCCATTAATTGCTTTCTGCTGCTGCCCTGCTGTAAGTCACAATAAAGCAGAGGGAACCTGAAAAGAGTAATCAACGGGGTGCGCAAGATGTTTTACGTTAATGGGAGAAAATACCTGCGGTCTGAGCTGAATTCATTCCCAACAAGGGACAAGAAAATGTTTTCAAACTGAAAAGTGAGAGCAACGGGAAATGAAATACTTCAATTGTTGGAGGTTCAAAGCTAAAAGCCCTTTTGGCAAAGAGTTTTACACTCACTACTGTAGATGTCTGTTTGAACAACAGAGTTTTTGGTTTCCATCTACAAATGAAAGAAAGCGCTAAGAGGCGGCTATACTTGCGCCAATTAGGCCGAAATGTTACATCTGCCAAATATGAAATGTGGAAATATGCAATAAGCATGTAGATATGAGCACAACATAAAGTAAACAGAAAATACATACCTTTGTACCCCAGTTGTATAACCTTGGGCCATAACAATGACCTTAAGTAATCAATTTCTGTTTCAAGATGGCCTCACATTTCACTTTAGAATACTTCAGCATACATAAGCACTGTAAGGTACAACACTATTCCAAATCATCATCTCTCCATCATTGTGCTCAACAGTGTTATTTGGGGATCTGCTGTTTTTTCCAACGTTCATACCTGTCTGGAGGTGGAGTCGATGTCCTGGGCTCTGCTCCGGTACCAGTCAGATAGAAGCTCGATGGACGGTGTGGCTGTACGAAATCTTTGCAACTCTGGAGAATCCTCATATAGGAAACCGTCATCATCAAACAAGCTTTGGTCCAGAACAGCTCTAGATCATTGAAAGGGGAGTTTTTAATTTAAATGTAAATCACTAATTCCAGTCAAATAAGTTACTCACTAAAAGGGTATTCACAAGAATCAGACTATTTTTTTTAACTTGACTGGCCAATCAAAAGCTCAGCAGACAACAGCAAGGTTGAATGTATCACAGAAAGTCGTTTAGTTTTATCCATTTGAGCTTTGCCTATCATGTTCATTTTTGTAATGTTGCCCACATCTACTATGGAACATGCTGAGTTTAGAAATGAAAGCACTGCTGTTAACATTTCACACACTGATGAGGTAAGTGTGCATGACATGGTAAAGAAGTCAAACATTAGCATTTAGAGTCGATACTAAAAAAAATAAAATATCTCCTTATCTCAAGAATGAAGATAAAGCATTATTGGGGGAAAGAATACCAGCATAAAAACATGTTATTTTTATTACCTTAGCAAAAATGAAACGCCAGGACAGATTTCCAAATAGACGATAATCTACATTGCCTCTCTACACCAAGGAGTAATAAAACTGTGCCTGAAAAGTAAAATTGTAAATGAAGCTGCCTCCCTCGTAATAGACAGCAAATGGCACAAATTGGCAGCACAACAGGACTCGGCATTAGTCTGATATGGCTCTATTTAACATTTGGATAATAGGATGTCATGTTTTGTTTCACATAATGATGCCAGCACAAGCATCTGGCCTTTATGGAACAGGAATTATCACAATTTTGCAATGTGGATGGGAGGCTTTTTGTTAATATATGGGCAGATCATATAATTACACAGTAAACCCTATGGTCTGAATGTTGGAGTTTAATATGCTTAAATGTGAAAGACTAAAAATCAGTTAGTGTTAATGTAAAGTATTTACCTGCACTCCTCTGCCTCACACCAGTCCATCTCTCGGTGTCTCTGCTCCTCCCAAGGGATCAACGCCAACTCCCCTCTTTCATCCGCACTGTAACAGAAAAAAGGATTAGGGAACAGCATCCACAAACGCAAATTTCAAATTACATAACTGAACAAACTAGCTTATCAGGACAACCACATAGCACCTGCAGTGCTGTGAAAAAGCGTGTGGACCCTTAAAGGTTTCTTCTGTTTTTGACAACTTGAATAAATAAATAAAAAAATAAAAAAATGCAGCTTATGAATCATGAGTTCATTTATTAAGGTAAAAAGGCTTTCCAAAACAAACTGGGACCCAAGTGGAAAAATAACTGCCAACTTTAATGCAGTCTAAATCAACTGGTTAGATATGTTTTTTGGTTCAGTAGACATGTGAAACTGTCAACTATACTGCCAAAACATTGGATCATAGCAGCTACAACAACTTCAACTCTTCAGAGAAGGTGTAGGATTGCGTTAATGATTCTTTAACCTTACACGCCGGAGCTGATGAGTCCCAAAAAAAGAAATTCCCATGCAAAAAGCATAAAAATGCCTACGCACAGAGACTTCCATGGTGAAGAAAAGTGCATTTCTTTCTGTTATCTACTCCTCTGTGGACAGAGAAAATATGTACTGTGGCTGTAAACTCCAGGAGATAGTGCAGCTACAAATCATCTTCGGTGCCGTTAAAGGCCGAGTGCACACGCGCTGCAGCGGTTTTATTAGCACTGCTATAAATCCTATCCAATCACAAAAATACATGAAAAGAAAGTAGCAGGTGTGATTTATGTTGACTTGAAAAAAATTTGTGTCAAAGATTTATAACGACACTGCAGCGCAAACTCATCCAAATTTGGAGAAGGGACCAAACCTAACATTACATTTATTAAGGACTTAATAAACTTGAGCAAATTCATTTTGTTTTACTTACTACTTGGTCTTTTTTCTTCATTAACGACAGCTCTGTTCGAGCGAGCAGAGTAAATATTGGTGAGCAGGCTCAGATATCAATAAGAGGAATAAATCATTCTGCATCCACAGCTCTGATCCACTTCACATCCGGGGAGCAGGGCGGAAGGGGTGAGGCGAGGATGCAAGGCATTTTTAACTCTTTGGGTTTACTGCGAAAACAATTTCAAACTACAAAGTAAAGTTTTTCGACATCAATGCTTCTCAAAGTCCCCACAAAAGACCTGATCGATATTACAGAAGAATACCATATTCACCCTCCCTCCCCTTGTTTCAATGAAGCAAGACTTCAGTATATAGAGTGAGCCCCAGACAGATGGTGTGAGCGCGCTCCGTCTGCTGCAGTGTGGGAGTGAGTGCTGAAGGAGCAGCAGTTGGTGCTCACAAGCTGAGGGAAATGGAAAACTGGCCCACAGCGGCAGCTCCATGATGGATGCCCACTGCAGAGCCACAACCGCCTGACCTCCATACAAACTCAAGACATGCCTAATATAAAAAAAAAAGAAAGGCTGCACAGAACTGTGAGTGTGTGTGCGTGCGTGTGACTAGGCATGCGTGTAGATGGAAACCAGAAGGACAATTACTCCTGCGTAGTAAAAGTCATGACTCCAGAAGACCTTTTCCTTTGTTTATATATATGTATATAAATGTTTCTTTGTTAAAAATGTGTTTGATTACTGTTTACTGTAGCAGCCTCATAAGGTCTTTAAGCACAAATGTCCTATATAATAAAAATAAGGTCAGACGATCCCGACATGGGAGAAAACACACCAGACAATTGCAATCGTTGATTCAACTAGCCTATCGTCTATATTTTGCTTGAACTCGAATTTCATCACATTACAATGTAGTTTAAATGGATTTTATGAGACAGATCAACACAGCACAATTCAGAATTCTGAAGTGAAAGGACAAAAACTCATCTTACATTGTTTTTTGTTTATAAATATCTAAAATGTTTGTCATGCATACATCATTGATATGTTGTAATGCCAAATGTTACTGCAGTTAAAGTGCCTAGCTCTGCACATATAGACTGATATTTTTCCTCATTATTTGTAGCAAAAAGTTCAAGCTCAGTCAGCCTGGATGGAGCGCATCCGTGTCCATCTTTTTTGGGGGGGCACAGATTCTAAACAAGATTTAGCCCTAAACTTTGACTGGACCATTCTAACACATGATTAGGCTTTGATCTAAACCATTTCATGTCTTGGAAGGTGAATGTCTGCTTAAGTATCAACATTGTTACAGCCTCAAACAGATTGTATTCCTTGATAGTTGTGCATGTAGCTTCATCCATCTTCCCAGAGCATCCACCCCAAACATGATTGCTATGCATCAAAAGTGTACTTTTGTTCTAATATGACCAGAACACCTTCTTCTTAAACATGTTTGCTATGTCTCCTACATGGGTTGTGGCATTCTGTAAATGAGACTTCTTAGAATTTTCCTTTTCAGTGAACGAAAGCTTTTAATTTTAATTTCTTGTCCGTAAACTGAAGCAAACTTTACACCTGTTAATCCAGTTAAGCGTGTCCTCTGGTGCACCATTTAAAGCCTAGTGTCACTAATTTGGCTTTTAAAATGGGTAGTGATTTTAGGTTTGACAGTAAAGCGAGAGCATTGGTGAAATCCAATGCATTGGTGAAATCTTAGCAAAGCCGGCAGTTCTGCAGGGGTCCGGCAAACAATATGCTAATAAATAACCCATTATGTGGCCAGGTTGTTTTAATAATGACCAACCAACGAGCAGAGCAAATTACAGCTGCAAACAAGTCTATTGAGAGTTGATCTGTACAGCCCACTTAAGATAAATAGACAATAAGAATTAAGGTAACCATGATTTCTTATTAAAGCACACAGGAGTCACATAATTAAAAGAAATAAAAATTATTTTAAGGTACTTAGTAGCAAGTCTAATAGAGTTAGCATTCATAAAACTAATGATACGAACCAAAGACAATGCTAATAAAAGTACCTCCTACGGGCCACAGAATAGATTAAAAAGAGAGAACAGGAATCTTTTTTTGTTGTTGTTACAGAAGGTCTTGTGTAACCACCTGTTTTATTTTTTTTTCCTTCTTGGAATAAACTTTTAAAAACTTTAAAGCAAAGTGATACAATTTTAAAGTAAATGATTACCATTTTCCAGCTGCAGATACGCAAATGTGCCCTGATAAAACACTTAGTCTCTAGCAAGATTTTTAATGCCCCAGATTAATTACAATAAGTAAAGAAATTCTCCTTTTGCAGCAAGCTCATTTGTCACTGCTGCAGACTTGGAACAACTATGAAAATTAGCGTGATGCTGAATGAGTTATTGTTACATTTTAATTTGTAAAAATAACTGAAGGTACTTTTCCATTGTAAATTTATATATATATATATATATATATATATATATATATATATATATATATATATATATATATATCTATCTATATAAGAA